ATGCTTTAGGGCGGGGCTACACGGTGATTGACAGGTCTCTACCAGAGTCGTATACGGTGTCTCTACGTCACTCCTCCTCAGTCCACATATGGTCACTTCCTGTTCACTGGTTGCAAAAAAACAAGATGGCGACGGACAAATCGACGAACTGGTGGCTTCAAAACATCCACAAACCAACGGGTCACTACTTATATTCAGTCTATCTTTAGAACGCATATATTTTGCTACGTTAACATCTAGCGTCCTCACTACTCCGGAGTTTTAAACCACCAAAACAGAAGGACTACAGATTAAAGGCGTTACTGATCTTATTTAAACGAGCAACAGTTGTTAAACAGAGTTGAAAAGATGAGATTAGTGCCATTCACACAGATCTGAGTCACATCTGGTTTCCTATTTAACTCATCTTTTGTTTTACTGATAGAATCTGCCAGAAGGAGGATCGCAGTCCAATGAAGGAGGAGTACCAGGACTACAAACAGCTCAAGGCTAAGCTCCGCCTCCTGGAAGTCCTCCTCAGCAAACAGGAAGTCACCAAAACCATGTGAGAGGAAACCGGAGCTCCCAGAAATGTGATTTTCTGAGAGGATAATAATGATATTTCCTGTGCAGAGGAGGGAAGTGGTGGTAGGTCACGCTTTATTTATCCTTCAGCGACGTTGGCTGCATCAAGTTCATAATGCCAGTGGAAGTATGAATATGTTGATTTAAAAGAAAAGCTCAACGTTTTGGAGTCCCATCTTGGTTTTTATCTGTTGCCATCTTCTTGTTTTTCTATGGTCTGTTTGACTCCTAATGGACCATAAGTTACTAAATGAACATCATGCTGTATTGAAGAAGACTTGAAACTAGAGATTGAGACCATAAACTCATGTTTACAATGTTTACTGAGGTAATAAATCAAGAGAGAAGTAGAGTCATTTTCTCATAGACTTCTATACAACCAGAGGAGTCGCCCCCTGGTGGTCACTAGAGAGAATGCAGATTTAACACATGAAGCTTTGACTTCTCATTCACTGCGTGAGCTTAGCATAAAAGAAACAGGTAGCCTGGCTGGCCGTGCGTAACGTTAGCATGTTAGCGTAGCACAATTAGCATGTTAAGGTAGCATGTTAACATTGAAATGGATATGTTTATATCTTTATGTTATAAAGAACGCTCACATGTCGGTAGAAACTGATTTTTATTATTTTCTTCCTCTCCAAGCTGTAAATACTGTAAATACTCCAGAAAAGTTTTATTAAGTAAAAAAGAGATGTGTGTCAGTGGAAACTTGTATACCAGCATCAGTGTGTATTTATTTACCTGCATCCTCATTCTGAACCATTTAGTCTGCAGAGACGAGGACGTTTAAGCTTCTGTATTTTATACCAAACTGTCCGTCTGAAAGCACTTTTAAGACAAGTTTATTTAAGAATGTTTTCCTTTAATGTTGTCGGACTAAACAAACCTGTGAAGGAGCTGATGAGGTTCAACTGAACTGTGTGGAAACGTAGAAATGATTGTTATTCTGTATGTTGAGATCTGCTGGACGACGTGGAGAGATGGAGACAAATGTATTCGTATCAGAGCACAGGAATTTATTTTTTATCCAAAGTTTAGTGTTTAATATGCAACATGATCATTGTGTCCTCTGGATTGATCAGTGAAGACGAGACGTCCTGCAGCAACTTCGTACCTCATTTCAGAGGTTTGGAGTTTCTATCAATCAAATATTTTAGAATAAAGATCAATAATATGAGACCAGACGGCGAGTTGTTGCGTTTCCTTCATCGAATGCATGAGACGGAACGAAGGGAGGTTACGATGCGTCGTCCAGTCTTTGCCTCGATGACGAGGTTCTTCTAGGTTTGTTAGACGCACATAAAAGTTCAAATAGTCTCACCGCTCGTCAGTGTCACGCTTCAATCCAATAATGCTTAGCCCAGGGCCAATTAAAGAATGTCATTTTTAATTAAGATGTGTCCACTACAATCATTTTTTGCTTCACGTTTATATTCTCACCGAAAATGAACCGAAATGTCGTGCATAAGAAAGTGTGTGTCTCCAGGTGGACCAGAGTCCTGAATGAGCTGAACCAGGACCCTGTGTCTCCAGGTGGACCAGAGTCCTGAATGAGCTGAACCAGGACTCTGTGTCTCTACTTTCTCTCCCGCAAAACAAGCGGAGACGCAGCGTGAGGCCGCATGATAAGTTGCGTCGGTAGCGCCGTGTCTGGGAGCATCCAGTACGCAGGGGATGGCTGGTTCAGAGCTTCCTGAGCAGTGCACCCAATGGTAGCTGGGGGAGGGGGGCTGGGTTGCTGGGTTGCTGAACAGTCATTAGTGGGACGCTGCGTTGGTCTTTTGTTTCGTTTCTTTTGCTTTAAGTTGTTTGTGGTGCCTGTCTGGGCACCTGGTCTGTGAAGTCCTGCCCGCTAAACCAGCTGTCACTGGTTTAAACCACAGAGTTATATTTGTACCAATAAAAGATTGATATTTTCATAACACTGCCTCTTGCGTGTACATGCCTTTACGGTGTTTTGAACCTGGGTCTCTGTGGCAACGTGGTGCTACGTTAACGTTAAGTGAATGAATGTAAACACAGATATGAAGCGTCGTATACGTCGACTATGAATCCAGATTAAATCTTTATCTCTGAAAAACCTGCAAGTGAACAAATTACAGCCAACAAATACGTTTTTATTTTAACATGATTGGAAAACTGAGAAGGTAAATTGTAGCTCGAGTGTTTTCATCAGAATAAAACGTGGAACATGAACCGACCTGTTGATGTTGTGAACTCGTTCATGCTGTGAGTCATAAAGAACTCCCTCTGTTGGGATGTTCTGCTTCGCTTCATGAGTTTCTATACAGTTTCTATACAATTTCTAATTAAATATTTTTGCTATCAACACAAATGTTGTCATTTTTGTATTATTCAGAATCAGCAGATTGTGACCTGAAGATGATTTAAGGTTGAAATGTTGCTCAATATGAGAAGAATGAATGTTTACATACTGTGGTATGTTTTCAGATCCTTTACTTGACGTTAAAGTTGTAATACCACAAAGTAAAAATACTTAATTGCAAGTCCTGCATTGAAGATGTAACTAAAGTATAAATACACAAGTATTGTCAACAAACACACTCATACTATTATGGTTGTTGCTACCATTGAGGACTCTTTGATCATGTCTCTGTATATTTTATTTCATATTAAGAACATGCACATGATGGTATGGACAGTATTTGTACATTTAGATGTGACTGGTTTCTAAATAAATACATTTGACAGCAGAAGGTTTCCCTTCATGAATTGTGCTGAAGTTCACTGATGGTAGAAGCTGGCAGAGACCCTGAAGACGTCGGACGTGCCTTCGTACGGCGTGATGAAGGTCTGCCAGCCCGTCCTGTTCTTGTAGTGTCCGTAGTGTTTGATCCTGTAGGAGCCGCTGGGGGCCGACAGGGGGACGTGCCACTCGATGGTGGAGTTACTCCGCTGGTTCGAACCCTTCAGCCAGTGAAACCTGCAGAGACAGACCACACGAAACGTCCTCAGAGACAGACCACACGAAACGTCCTCGGAGACAGACCACACGAAACGTCCTCGGAGACGGACCACACGAAACGTCCTCGGAGACGGACCACACGAAACGTCCTCGGAGACGGACCACACGAAACGTCCTCGGAGACGGACCACACGCAACGTCCTCAGAGACAGACCACACGCAACGTCCTCAGAGACGGACCACACGAAACGTCCTCAGAGACGGACCACACGAAACGTCCTCAGAGACAGCTGGAGTCAAAGGTTGGTGTTTAAATCATCAACCCGAACACATTCTGTCCTGGTGGTGAAGTTTCAGCAGATTAATGCATGATTTTACATTAATACACGAGTAATATTAATCTAATGATAGAATATGTAATAGTACACCAGTCACAGTACACACAATACTTTTACTTCATTTAATCATTTATACTGATTTTATACTTACTGTAACAGAGTATTTCTACTGTGTGCTATTAGTACTTTTACTGTGACAGCATTTCTCAAGGTGGTATTATTACTTAAGATATAACAGTATTTTGAAACCGTGGTATTAATACTTTAACTAACAGTATTACTGTAACAGTTTTTTTGGGGTGTGGTATTAGTACTTTTACTGTAATAGAGTACTTTTGCAGTGTACTATTATTACTTTAACTAATAGTATTAATAGATCATCACTAATAGATCATCCCAACCGACCCCCCACCAGCACTGAGGATCTGCAAAGAGGATGTGAGTCGGCTCTTCCACAGACAGAAGATCAGGAAGGCACCAGGCCCAGACGGTGTGTCACCCTCCTGCCTGAAAGTCTGTGCTGACCAGCTGGCCCCCATCTTCACACAGATCTTCAACCGATCACTGGAGCTATGTGAAGTCCCCTCATGCTTCAAACGCTCCACGATCATCCCGGTCCCCAAGAAATCCTCCATCACAGGATTAAAAGACTACAGGCCCGTCGCCCTGACGTCTGTGGTCATGAAATCCTTTGAGAGACTGGTGTTGACCCATCTGAAGAACATCACAGGACCCCTGCTGGACTCTCTGCAGTTTGCCTACCGTGCAAACAGGTCGGTGGATGATGCAGTCCCATGTTGACTGCACCTCGACTCCCCAGGGTCATATGCAAGGGTTCTGTTTGTGGACTTCAGCTCCGCGTTCAACACCATCATCCCAGCAATACTCCAACCCAAACTCTCCCAGCTCACTGTGCAGCCTCCACCTGTCAGTGGATCACTAACTTCCTGACTGACAGGACGCAGCAGGTGAGGCTGGGAAAAATCACATCCAGCACCCGGACTATCAACATTGGCGCCCCCCAGGGGTGTGTGCTCTCCCCACTGCTCTTCTCCCTCTACACCAACGACTGCACCTCAGAGGACCCAACGGTCAAGCTCCTGAAGTTCGCAGACGACACAACGATCATCGGCCTCATCAGGGACGGTGATGAGTCTGCGTACAGGCGGGAGGTTGAACAGCTGGTCCTCTGGTGTGGTCTGAACAACCTGGAGCTAAACAAGCTCAAAACTGTGGAGATGACAGTGGACTTCAGGAGGAGCCCCCCAACACTGCCCCCCCTCACCATACTCAACAGCACTGTGTCTGCTGTGGAGACCTTCAAGTTTCTGGGATCCACAATCTCCCAGACCTGAAGTGGGCTCCCAACATCAACACCATCACGAAAACGGCCCAGCAGAGGTTGTACTTCCTGCGCCAGCTCAGGAAGTTCAACCTACCTCAGGAGCTGCTGATCCTGTTCTACTCAGCCATCATCCAGTCTGTTCTCTGCTCCTCCATCACTGTGTGGTTTGGATCGGCCACCAAACAGGACAGGAACAGACTACAACGGATTGTCAGGTCTGCAGAGAGGATCATTGGTTCCAGCCTGCCCTCCATCCTGGACTTGTTCACCTCCAGAGTCAGGAAACGGGCAGGAAAGATCACTGCAGACCCTTCACACCCTGGACACAAGCTATTCCAACTCCTCCCCTCTGGTAGGCGCTACAGGGCTCTGTACGCCAAAACCACCAGACACAGGAACAGCTTCTTTCCACTGGCCGTCACTCTGATGATCAATAAATAAGTCATATTGCACTACCTTTGTTTGCACTATTGTATTTTATATATATATACATACACACTTTTGTTTGGGATATATTTATACTTATATTGTATATAGCTGTTAAATGTCCTTGTTTTTCTTATATTTCTCTTGTTTATTGTATATATTTCATATGTGTGTATGTACAATGAGAGTAATGTGTAACCGGAGTCAAATTCCATGTATGCGCACACATACATGGCCAATAAAGCTGATTCTGATTTTTAAACCATGGTATTAGAACTTTTACTAAAATAAAGGATACTTTCTCCACCACTGGCCTTCACATCAAACCTACTAAACACTGACATACCTGGTCTCCCATGATGCATCAGTGTGGACGATCTTCCAGGTGTCTGTTCTGTTGTCATAAATCTCCACAGTCACCAAAGTTTTATCTCTCTGTGACGGACGACAACACCGAGGAGGTTAGAGAGGAAAGTAACACTACAAAGAGGAATCAAGGAAACAAAGTACAAAACTAAGGAAACAAGTTTTTGGTCTTACGATGTCTCCAGAGTTTCTGGGGTTTCCTGCTACGAACGTGACGGAGACGACATCACCCTGAAGGACACGTTCAAACATGTTTATGTGTGTTCACGTACAAACAGCAGGGTGTCGTCAGCATAACGCTTTAGTTGAAACTGAAAGAGGACTGAAACTACTGGGCCCAGTACGGAGCCCTGAGGGAGGCCTCAAGGCTCCATACCGGGCCCACTACGGAGCACTGAGAAGCCTTAAGGCTCCATACCGGGCCCACTATGGAGCACTGAGGGATGCCTCAAGTCTCCATACCGGGCCCAGTACGGAGCCCTGAGGGACACCCCAGAGAAAGACCCCCACCTGTCTGTAGACGGGGTACACCTGCTCCAGGACGTCTCCAAAACTGCTGTTCTCTGGTTTCCTGTCCACGGTCGGTGCAGGCAGCAGATTGAAGAGATTCTTCCGGAAGAACGGAGGCTGAGGGCCGAGCGGCAGCTCCGACACTCTGTTCTAAAAACAAGGAACACAGGAGAACCAGGTGGAGTGAAGAAACCTTAAAAACATGAGGATGCTTTTTTCCTGTCATTTCTAAGTGTCAGAGATGATGATGATGATGATGTCCTCTGGAAGAGGAAGTCACAATGACACTAAAATAGTTCTGACCTCCAGAGGGAGTGCAAATTTAAACACTATTTGTACAGTGCGGTATTAGTACTTTTACTGTAACTGCCTTTTTACAGTGCGGTATTCGTACTTTTACTGTTTAAGTATTTTAAAACTGTGGTATTAGTACTATTACTGTAACAGTATTTTTAGACCGTAGTATTAGTACTTTTACTGTCAGTATTTTTACTGTGTTTTGACGTAGATTCTGTTGACACAGTATAATTGTACTGTAAGAACACACATGAGCGGCTCCTCATTACATCATCAAAGGTGTGGTCCGGTCTCACCTGTGCGATGGCTCTGGCCAGGCCTCGGTACCTGTGCAGGTACGCACTGAGCGTGTGCGGACCATAGATGGTGGAGGCTCCTTCGTACCGCTGCACCTGAAATATAACGGTTACGTATTTACACTTGGTTTCTTAGAAACTGTGTAGTAGTTTTTTCTCTGAGTTTTGGTGGACGGCTCTAAATGCTACAATACCCATGAGCCTCAGCTGCTGTCTACCTGGTACTCTTCATAGGTGGTGATGTAGTGAGTGTAGACGTTACTCAGGCCGGCAACCACCACTTCCGTGTCCCTGAACGCCCCCTCAGACTCTAGCTCCTAACAAACACACACACACACACACACACACACACACACACACACACACAGTGTGGTCACATGTTACAGGTGTGTAAAGGTGTAGTTTGAGTCCACGTTGTGTCTCACCTGTTTGACGGCTTCTCGTAGCCTCCTCCCCGACATGGTGCTGTGAGAGCACAGAGACAAGTGATGTCATCGGGGGGGATTTACTGTACTACATCTCAGAGGTACATATTGTACTTTTTACTTTACTACATCTCAGAGGTACATATTGTACTTTTTACTTTACTACATCTCAGAGGTACATATTGTACTTTACTACAGTTATCTGACAGCTTTTGTTACTATTTATATTGAGATTATTAAATCAAAATAAAATCATCTAATAAAAGATGATGTATTATGATCATCAGTAGTATTGTGATTAGTACAATCAGCCGTATTATCATCAGTAGTATTGTGATTAGTAGTATTAGTGAAGTGTTGTTACGTCATCTCTCCAGGAACAGCTACGATGGCTACATTGCCGATGGTGATGATCTGAACATCGACGATCTGCGGATGCCACGGCAGAGGCCAGTTCATCTACACACACACACACACACATTAAACCTCCACTATCTTCACATCATCTAGAACCTTCACAGAACAGTTCTGTGCGTGATGAAGATCGGCCTCGTCATCACCTCCCCTGTGCTGATCAGGATGGGTTTGGGATGATGACACTCCTGCGTCTGATTGGACGGCTGACCCAGCAGGGCGTCTCTGATCCCGTCCCAGAATGGGTCGCCTTCCACAGCGCCTACAGAGAGAGAGAGAGACAGACCGGTTCAGAGGAATTCAAATCCACAACCAGCCAAACTACAGGAGAACCACAGGTGAATCATAGGAGAATCATAGTAGAACCACAGTAGAACCAGAGGAGAATCAGATGAGAACCACAGGAGAACCAGAGGAGAATCATAGTAGAACCACGGGAGAATCATAGGAGAATCATAGGAGAACCACAGTAGAACCAGAGGAGAACCACAGGAGAACCAGAGGAGAATCATAGTAGAACCAGAGGAGAATCATAGTAGAGCCACAGTAGAACCAGAGGAGAACCACAAGAGAACCATAGTAGAATCACAGGATAATCATTGTGGAACCACAGTAGAACCACAGTGGGACAACAGTAAATCCATCATAGAACCACAGGAGAACAACAGGAGAACCACATAGTAGAACCAGAGTAGAATCACCTTGAGTGAAGTTGAGTTCTCCTCCTCCATCTGTTGTTCCTGCTGCAAAGCTGTGACCCAGAGCTGGTTTACATGTACTGACCTGATACACAGATAATGATCTATCAATCAATCTATCATCTACAATCTATCATCTACAATCTATAATATATAATCTACAATCTATAATCTACAATCTATCATCTACAATCTACAATCTAAATCTACAATCTATAATCCACAATCTATAATCTTTAATCTACAATCTATCATCTATAATCTATCATCTACAATCTACAATCTATAATCTACAATATATAATCTACAATCTATAATCTACAATCTATAATCTATCATCTACAATCTATAATCTATCATCTATCATCTACAATCTACAATCTATAATCTACAATCTATAATCTATCTACAATCTATAATCTACCATCTACCATCTATCATCTATAATCTACAATCTACAATCTATCATCTATCATCTGGAATCCATAATCTACAATCTATCATCTATCATCTACAATCTACAATTTATAATCTACAATCTATAATCTACAATCTATAATCTACTATCTATAATCTACTATCTATAATCCATCATGAACACAGAGAAAGCTCGTGTGTCTGTTGCCACCGGCTGATTTAAGTGAAGCAGGTTAACCTCAAAGTTAGAAACAATGGTTCAACTCACTTAAGGTGGACTGACCCTTAAGGTGGACTGTTTTAAGGTGGACTGACCCTTAAGGTGGACCAGCTGTTCTCAGCATTAATCAGTCAAAACTCTTGTCAGTTAACGTTTAAACGTTTAATTATTACCGACAGTAGTTTCTTTACGTTACTGTGACTTCACACTTTAAAACACCAACAAGTCACAAAATAACCGACCAATTGAGGCAGCCGTAGACCAGCAACTCCTGAGTTCTGTAAAATAGCTGTTTTTGTGAAAGAAGTCTGTGTGTGTCATTGCTGCTGACGTGTGTGTGTGTGTGTGTGTCATTGCTGCTGACTGTGTGTGTGTGTGTGTGTCATTGCTGCTGACCGTGTGTGTGTGTGTGTGTGTGTGTCATTGCTGCTGACTGTGTGTGCGTGTGTGTGTGTGTCATTGCTACTGACCGTGTGTGTGTCGTTGATCTGAACCGTGACGTCCGTCATGTTGACCCACTGATGGGCCGCCTGAAGGGGGCCAGTCACCTCCTCCACTGCCTTAGCATACAGCTCCTGCAGGGGGCAGCAACATACACACACACACACATTTGACAGCTTTGAAGAACCTCAAACCAGGTCCTAATCCCGAGATATCAAGGGTACCTTGTGGGGACACGGGTTTTGGTCCCCACAAAGCACTGTGAGAAAACTTTGGTGTCTCCACTACGTAGGTAATACGAGAAGTAGTGGTACACTTTAATCAATACATTCATTAACTTTAATTAAAAGAGACAGACAGAGAGACAAACAGAGAGGCAGGCAGACAGACAGACAGACAGACAGTACCTTGGCCTTCCTGTAGACGTTGTGTCCGATGACCCTCGTGCTGTCGAACATGTCTTCTCCGGGTCCAAATGCCTTACACATCTGAGTCTGACACACACACACACACTTCCTGTTTAGTGTGTGTGTGTGTGTGTGTGTGTGTGTGTGTGTGTGCGTGTGTGTGTGCGTTTACCCCTCCTACAGGACAGGAGCTGTTCAGGTAATCACAGGGCTGTCCAGTGTTCAGACAGACAGGTCCTCTGGTGTTCGGACTGACGTCTCCAAGGTTACTGGAAGAGAAACCAGCTACGAAGCTGCCCTGAGACACACACACACACACACCTCCTGTTTCAGACTTTCACAACAAGACTTTGTGTTGGGTCAGTGAGTGTGTCCACTCACCTGTCCAGGTAGCTGTCCCCGGTTCTTGTCCTGCTCCAGCAGGTAGGAGGCGTGGCCAATGTTGTCGCTGCTCACCATGCGGTTGGTGGAGTTCATGCTGACGGCGTGGACGGCGAACCAGCTGCTGACGAGGAGGTGAGACGTTATTTATTTATTCTTACTTATTATTAATATTTATTCGTATTATTCATTATTCATTATTATTCATTATTATTTATTATTTATTATTCATTATCTGATCACCTGAGCATTCCGATCCCGTATCCGTCCAGATCCGTGAACTTCAGCACCAGAACCTGTTTATCAGTGTTCCATCGATACCTGAAGGTACAAGAAGTGTCAATGTACTCTATTCAGGTACAAATATACAT